GCCGTCTAATAGGTGGAAATTTGAACCGTCTATTGTGAGCATAATGTTTCCTTGACAATCCTCTCTTCACCTCATTCGGAACTGAACCGCTTCATTACATGTATACACACTTATAGTTTACAGTACACAGTGAGATTCTGTTCCTAAACACCATCATCATGATATTCCGGCTAATTGCCACAATCGTTCATTGTGAACGGTTTAGCACGTTTTCATGAGACTCAAGACGACTTTGCTGATTTCGTCTCCCTAGTACATTCAATATTCTTGCATCACCAATTAGCCCATGTGCTATTAGCGTTAGCATATAGTACAGACACCAATGATTATGAAACAGTACGGACCATTTCCAAGAACTTAGTCGCTAGCATTGTGCCTTCGAATAATTCCAGAAAATGCCTCGCCACCACATTACCCTGAGGCTCTGAAAGTGTTGCTCACCGGTGCTAAAGTGTGAGTTCCAGCAGGAGCATTTTTCCGTCGTGAAACAAATGTCTCCTCCCTACATCAAAATGTACAGCCTGACAGTGCTCGCTGCCCAAACGACTGTAGCGATTTGAGATGACATGGAGAGGCCTGACAAAATGTCCCGAATTCCATGGTGTAATGGTAGCACACCTGACCGGCAAGCAAGAAGTCAGGGTTCGATTCCCAGAGCCCCCGGCTTTAGACATCTCAGCAGGCTACATGGCTCTCCCATTCCGGAACTCAGCATTCGCTGCCTCCTGCTGTTCAGCGGCCTAGCACATCTGCTTGCTGTTCATCACTGATTCTAGCCATTACGCCTAGCACCGATTTAGGCACGTCGCACCGCAACTGCAGTAGGAAACGTTGTTTCCGCGCCAACACCAACCGTTTTTTACCAGCAACAACTGCTTCATCGCTGTCATGTGTGACCTTCAACCTCACATCACAAAAATTGCCACCAGTTTGATGGGAGGTGCACCTGGTTTGCGCGACATATGAAGCAGAGTCTTTTTAGACTTTATCAATCATGAGAACTCAAATCAGCTATAACATGAAACGCAAACAGAAAACTATTGCATGGAAGCGATGGCGCTAACCGCCACACCTGACCTAACGGGAAAATAATAAACACAGAAATAAAACACCTCAGTGGACGGAAAAAATAGGGTGAACCAAAGCCTATGGCTCCCACTAATATCGGCAGGGCCATCGGGCTATAACTGCGTTGGATGGCCAAGCCTTTGGCCTAGTATAGCATACCCCTATGGATCTGGCTCTTTCAGGGGTGGATGGTTTAGCCTAATGGACCTGGCGCTTTGAGTGGTGGATGGCCCAGCTTATGGCCTAAAATGATCTAGTCTCGTAGGCTTGGCGCGTTGAGGTGACAGCCACCACCACAACTTCTTCCCAGCACACTTAATACTCTTGCATCATCGATTAACTCGGGTTCTTAGTATTAGCTCATGGTGCAGGTACCACTGATTCCGAAACAATCCGGTCCATTTCCAAGAACTTGTTCGACCTTAGCACAGCGGAAATTTAGCGCATGTGCAGCAGATGCACTTTTCCGTTGTGGCTGCAATGTGAAACAAATCTCCCCTCCCTACAGGAAAATGTACAGCCTGAAAATGCTCGCTGCGCAAACGACTATAGTGATTTGAGATGACATGGAGAGGCCTGACAAAATGTTCCAAATTCCATGGTGTAAGTGTAGCATACTTGACCGGCAAGCAAGAAGTCCGGGTTCAATTCCCGGCCTTCGACACTTGAGTGTTGCGTTCCTTGCAGCAGGCTGCATGGCTCTCCTATTCCTGAGCTCAACATTCGCTGCCTCTTGCTGTTCAGCCTTACGCTCCTCAACGTGCAACAGGGTACTGTTCATCAATCATTCTAGCCATTATGGCTAACACCTCCTAAAGCATCGATTTAAGCACTTCGCACCGCAACTGAATTGGCAAACGTTATTTCCGTGCCAGCACCAATTGTTTATTATCTGCAGCGCTGCCTCATCGCCGTCCTGTCGGACCTCATTTAACCCTAAACGCCACTGCCTGTATTCTAATAAGGATACTACTTCAATGTCGCATCCAAAATGGACACACTTGTCTTCAGAATCTCGCAATCATAAAACTTAATGTCGGGTTTCCTCGCGTGTTTTCATGATTGCAGGAAATGGAGGAGAGCGCGCAATCGTGTATGACCAGCCTATGCATCAACTGGCTCAGGGGCATGTCCCTACGACCTCTTTGGATGGGCACTGTACTCAAAGGAGTAAATATAGCACAATTGTAAATTGTAAATAGACAATGATCTTGAACATCATATATGGAAACGCAAAAGCGAGTGCTTTCTTAATTCAGAAAATTTTATATTCAATACCGGTATTGGGTTATTTACCAAATATTGTCGTTGAGGGGGAATGAGTATTTTAATTACTTCAAATAAAGTTGGAGGTGCTTTAATATTCTGTCCTCTTGATGCATTCATTATTGGTCAACTTGCGTTCTTTTGAGGACGGGAGCTGTCGTTGACTACAGACAGGCCGAAGGAATCATGTCCCGGAGCAGAGTGACAAGCCGACCGGCAGGTCTTCCTAGAACACCAACTGCATTTGGCGCAGCACCCCAGGGACCATTGGTGGAAATAAACGCCCAGCCCTTTTATAGGGCTCATGCCATAGTGAGTCATTAACAAGTTTGTCGGCCAAATTGTCTGCTATATACTGTATATTCCATGTATTCCGGAATATGTCATGTCCATCACGTGATTTAAACGATCCAGGAAGCGAGGCCCTTATTTTCATATCTCCCGTGGTGGCAAGCCACTGCGGAGAATTTGACTTCATGCGGATGGAACATTTAAGGTAGTTCCGTCCATGTTCCACCAGTTGCTCACATTGGTTGGGATTTCCCAGGATCACGTGAGTAAATTCCTCATTATACCTAAAATTTACTTAACAACCTGGATCATTACTAATATTGTTGCTATTCATTTATTAACAGGGGTTCCCAGTGGCTTTCGCCTTGATGACGAGGCGAACCAGGGATATATATAGGATCACCCTGAGACGGATTCGCCAAGAACTACCTCGAGAATGCCTCTGTCGTAGGCTGTCTTTTTCATTTTGCTCAAGTCAGCAGGCTTTCCTGATTTCACTCAAGCATTAAAAATTAACTAAAAAAAATAATTACAGTTCCATTTTATCTTTGATGCAGGCTCTTTTCAGGAAAGCTATGCAGCCGGGGCTCCATGGATTGATTGTGGGACCAGAAGCCAGGAACCCACCAGGGTCTCTGGTTCGTTGTGCTATGGCTCTTCCTGCAAACCTTGTTCTTCAAGGGGCTGAGGACCAAGCAAATCGGGCGACCTCGTATGCAAACCCAGGGATTAATTGGTTAGTGACAAGTAAAAAAAAAAATCCTCAGTAGTTGAACCTTGCAAACCCAACCCTTCATTCACTCCAACTTTGCCTATAACTATTATTCGTTATAGTTTCCGCTGCATTCATCGCATGATTCAGAACGAACTAGTTGAAAAAAAAATACCGAACGTTATTAAGTGCCATGAATTCTCAAACTCAAGTAACACCGGAATGTTTCATGACTGTTCAATGAACTTTTCATTTAAGGTATGGAACGTTCCTTATCTGTTGAAATGTCTGAAATTTAGAGCGATAAAAATGATCACTCTGAAGCATGTATTCCCTAAGCGTTCAGAGTGTGGAAACTTCCATCGAATCCAATAGTTACCATTTGAGAGTCCAATAACATGCACTTTTTGATGCTCATCCAAGTCGAACCATCCTCCCTACATCCTCTGAGCCTGAATTATCTGGAGACTCCCTGGAGATGGTTACATATGGATTTTTGAACAGAGAGCTATCCGATAATGCAGCTTTGTTCCAGGGAAAATACATAATTTCCTGGAAATAAAGCAGCATTATTGGATAGTTCTTTGTTCAAAACTCCACCATACTTCTTTAGACCGACTTGTTGAATTCTTCAACAAGTCGGTCTTCCTTTGTAGTGCATGTGTAGAAAGATCGGGCACCGTACGAAAAGTATTGTTGACTAATTCCAACGGTATCAGGTGTTGACTTGCTAAACCGGTTACTTTGACATCATCTGGCTTTGGCAGTGCGAACCTTTGTTCGAGCCACTTCTTGATGGATAGTACTGATATGCTTAAAGAAAAGTTTCTTTAGCGTTCAAAAAGTGTCCATCAAAGTCGTCATGTATTGTGATCAAGCGGCACCTTAACTGAGCGCCCAAAATTTGCTCATCTGTGAACTTTGGACGTCCCAAAATTTATTTGAACACTGTTTGAACGCATACGATAACGTTATTGTGGTACTTGGGAAGTTGTCTGTATTTTCATGTTTTTCAATTTGACGTTGAAGCTAATTAAAATTTTATGAAGAATACTCATGGCTCTTGCAGATATTCAATGCTTACTTTCAAAATTTGGCCAATTTCTTCTGGGCTATTCAAAATATTTATGACTGCAGAGTAACATTTGTATATTTGGCATTCAAGCATCATATTTCGTAGATGTTCGTAATTGTTTCGTAAATGTTGCACTCTGGTTTATGAGGTTTCAACCTCAGAGAAATGATTCCATGCACCTTTTTGATTAGATTCTTCGCAATGACATGACAATTGCAACGTTGATTACTTAAAATTGATTACGAATCATTGATTGTTCATGGATGTCCCCACCAAATGAATGAATTTCCTAAGGGGTGACTTGGCCATTTTGCCATTATCATGATGCACTTTCTTCCTAGGTCGACAGTGTACGAATATCTTTGCCGCTGCCGACATACCCTAGATGGAATTCCAGTTCTTGTCGCAGGTGCAGGTTAGTTTCAGACCTTATCACGCACTCAGAAAAGCAAAAGTAATGCAATGCCCTTTCCTCTCGTTTATACTATCTATTGGATAAAACAAGAAAAAACGTCCAATTCAATTAGTAATAAAACGAAAAAAATTTCCTATCTGCTTCATGGGGACGAAGGAAGTCTTAAATTTTGTCAATGTTCGTACCAAAAATCATGAAGCAAGTACAAGCAAAACAAGGGTATTATGATGGACTCTAATGGTGGATGTGCTCGCCACACCCACGGCAGAAGGGAGAAGGACGATCACTCTCATTGACCAGAAGTTCAAGCAGGGAGGACCAGATGGTGGTCAGCTATGCTAGTACCCCAAACTCCCCTCCTCCCACCAACCATTCCGCACCCGCTTGTCTTTGACACTATTGCTCGTTTTTGCCCACCTGCCCTCTTCTTGTTCTGGAATATAAATCATGAGAATTTTTTTTTTTTGCGCCTCGAACTGCTTAAGTGTAGTTATCCAATTTGGCTTCAACTTTTTGCACTGTAACTTCAATTGCTACTTCAATTATCATTTTCCTCTCAATGCCTATTATTTTTTCTGCTCAGCGCAAGTTCCAGAGGGACTTCTGCTTCCTCCTGAAGCAGTTGGAGAACAAGTCCCTGCTCTCGTCGCTACCGTTGCTGCTCCCAGAGGTCAGTTCAGGATGGCACTGTAGGAATGTACATGCTATATCAGTGTGTAAGAGGTACATCAATGCTTTATGTATTCCTTTTTTGCAGGGCCACAAGAGCTACCTCAATTAGAACAAGCTGCTGCTGCTGCTGTTCAAGGAGGTAAGTGCTTGAAAAAGGCAAGAGAGCAGTAAAATAATGAGCTTGCTGTATCAATATGCGTGAGCTACATCAAGGCCTTTTGCAGGACCACAAGAGCTACCTCTGCCTGAAGCAGAAGAAGCTGCTGGTGTTGCTGCTGCTCCTCCTCCTCCAGTTCCAAGTGGTAAGCTCTTATGGGAGGATTTTTTTAGATCAATAAACTACATACAGATGTAGCAAAACAATGATCAACGACATTTAATCCAAATATCTTCGCTCACAACAGAGCTATTTTCGAGAAAGATATACTTTACTTTCCTTGCATATGAATGTTCAACTGAAGTTGCAATTCAACATGCAAATGTATTGTGCCATACCATAAGCAATTATTGAAAAGAAATTAGATGTTGAGAAAGTGGAGTGGAGGGTACACTCCAGTGCTGTCCTTTCGAAGTAGCCGCTTTAGCGAGTCAACACCAAATAAGGGACCCCACGAGGAGCCGATTGCCAGAGATAATATATGCGTTATATTTTAATTCCTCACTTTCGTCACTACGTGGGTCATGGATCCTTTACAGATTTGTATTAAGAATACGATGAGGAAATCTGAAAAGGTTGGTGGAGACTGTAGGAACGATGAAGTGAACGAAGGCAGGTTCGGAAGGAACAAGTTCGGTTCCTCGTCCCAGTGTAGGAGAGGAACGCGGTGACGTTGATCCCATTCATAACGGCTTGGGTACATCCTAGGATAACAATTATGACATCGCCAACCACCAGGACTTTCAACACGTGACTGCCCATCAAACGCTGCAGTGTGTTAATCATGACACGGATCCCCCTACGCACACCATCATCGTGGAGGGAATGTGGCGTCACGCCATGTCAAAGCTACCTGAGTACAACCGGAAAAAGGAATCTTTTGTGCGAGACCTGGTCTACCATCATGCATCATCGCCGCTTGTGGGTTACTAAAGTGAAAAAGCCTGTCTAGTTAATGTATGAAATTGATAAAAATTAAAAATCTAGTATCTATTGAACACCACCTATGACTTTCAGGAAAGTACCAAATAAGACGCTAGGGACTGACCATCATCATCGTGTCGTGTCATCGAAACGATGACAAGACACGGGATAAAAAGTGAGTGCCCGGAATACGAGCGGCCGCAAATCTGACTCCTAACTTGTTTAAAACGTGTAGCAAACCAACTACGAGAAGTGCATCCCCGAAATGAACCGTTTCCTTGTTGATCACAAGATCAACTCAGTGGGATGCGAGGCACGAATGGAAGTGACTTGGACTAAACTCGAGCTGTCATCAACCATCTACTTTGAAAGGAGCTCAGCTATGACCTATCTATATGGAACATTGTTCGCCCCTTCACCAATTGGACAGAAGCTGTCCTCAATTATACTGAGAGCTTTCTATATATCAATAAAGGTAGAAATGATCCCCTATCGAAGATCGTGTTGGAGATTTTACGGGCAGGTCGGACGGCGACCAAAACGGAGGGAACATGGAAGTGGGGGGGGGGGGGGTTCCTGTTTCACATATAGGTGCATTCAGATTAACTACCACCATTACTGTCCATTAAGAAGTCAATTCGTTTTCATGTTAAAAAATCTGCATTTCAAATTTTTAACAATTTATATTACTGTATTGCAGGAGCATGCACACTTTCATGACGCAATAATCCACATAAAATACAAGTGGACAGGAAAAAAATTCTAGTCTCGAGGCCGTATATAGTTGAAAGTACTCGTAATGAAATTTTACAGACAGGGAACTTTGCTCGTGTCACCGTACATATCCCCGTCTCCAAACCCAACCGCTAGGCGGTTGCACGGGATTTTAACTCGACTTGGTAGCTTCTAGCGTTCGCCGTCAAAAGCGACGGAAATTACGGACTGAGTAATTGCGAAAGCCCTGAGGCACACCATCTGCCATGTCCACTAAACTACAAGCCAGACTAGTTGGGATTAGCGGTATCGAAACTATTTTCGTAATTTCTGACGATGGAATCTCTGTTGCAGTTTCTTTCAGACGGACATTCCAGATTTTCAGTTCAAGTTCAGTTTGAATTGAATGCAACGGGGTGGAACTGGATCAGCCTTGATTCAATTCGTGAATATTTTCAGAGGTAGACAGGGGGGAATCGCACGTTGATCAAACATCAACTTGGCCCAAAAATATTATTTTTACCTATCCTCAGACTTGTGCGCACCAAGCAGCAGGGAGGCTCCCCTGGAATCGAGGAACTCCTTGCAGCAATGCTGGCCGCAGTTTATACGGAAGATATAGCAACATTTTCATGGGTAGGGGAATTGAAGACTAGTAAGTGGATAATCTCTGGAGTGTGGGAGTTCCTTGCCCACTTTAAATTTCAACATGCTCTCGAAGAGCACCTCAATTTCCCCCCAACCCAAATGCGTCGCGCCATGGGGAATTTCTGCTAGGCTTACCCTTCACTGAAACCACCAACATAGTGGCCAGTCGACCAGCTGCTCCTGGACTGGTCAAGCCACCAGTTTCCCTCATTCCCCTCTGATACGAAACTTCGTGCTATAGGGGATGTGAGCCGTGAAAAACTTTGCCATGGTGCTTAAAGGGCTTGGGATTGAGGAGGTAAGCCTCTTCCAAATGAAGAAAACTTCACTTGAAGTCCTCAATGGCCTATTCTTCGAGACTGAGGCAGACGACACAGTAGCAAAGCTTGAGAAGGAAGGTCACCTCATTATAGACCCCTCTCAGTACTGGGTTGAATCTTCTAAGGTGGACCTATGAACACTTCATTACTGTCCGCGCGGACAACCATGAGACCTGTCAACCATCCTGTCCCAACAGGGCACGGACCCACGGGTCTGCAATAGCAAAAGTATCCAAATGGAATATCACGCCAATAGCAAAAGTATCCAAATGGAATATCACGCCAATAAATTCTGCCAAGTCCAACCTAGTTATTACATTTTCAGCTGACGAAACTCAAAAGATTCGGGTCAGCTGGGCCACCTCCTGTTCCCCATACCGAACTTCTGCTCGCCTCCATCCTCATGTTCCCAACAGGAAACTCCCTCTAACCATACTCCTAATGCCTTCCACTTCCATTAAACCCTTTCTACCCCTAATCCCAACTCCCGATCTTAATTCACTCATGAGATACAGCTTTGGTCTACGAAGGCATTCATATCAAGTGTGAGTGTGGGTTAGACCGTAGCGTGCAACTGTAGAATTCTAGCTTTAACTGCATTCTATTTTCCACCGAATAATGTATGCCTCCCCAGAGCGTGCCTTGACCATCCTCCATATCAATGAGGAGAAAATACTTTCTTCAGTCGACCCTTTTGGCCCTACAGCTTAGATAAGACCTTGATCATAAGAATAGCCATGGCTCCCGCATGCTCAGGGCTTCACTCAGGCCTAAGCTGTCTAGCATGACTATTTCGGTAGGCCAAGCTATGAGCACATACACTCTAGGCTTACTCGAATTCTATTGACTCAACTTGAACCAAATTTCCTTTTGAGAATCCTAAATATCCAGTTAACCTTAAATCGATAACAAGCCAACAAACACTATTATTACCAACGAAGTAAACGACTCTGACATTTTCATGGAGATGAAATTTGAGAACAAAGATTCCCTGCTTCATGCGTAATTAAAAATCACTAGGCAGCGTTTCTTCGGGCAGTTTCTGAACAGCGTTTCTGTTCAACAGGATCGCGGGGCGCATCTTCAAGTGTCTCATCACCTGACGCAAATTTTCTAAACCACTTTTGAACTGTGCTCAGTGTTCTCTCCAAATGCCGTACGCATCTTGCGTGCTGCTTGCGTCGCGTTAGTGCCCAGTTTAAACTCATGAAGCACGCTCGAATAACTGTAATCGGAGGAGACATGCTTTCGTTGCCCTTCACTGTTTCACCGAACCACCCTTCAGCTTGCTAGACATCAACTGACTCGGCGGGACACGTGCTTTCGACTGTGTATCGACGCATGCACCAATCTGCAATCATGCTGACGTAATTTTCGTTAAAATAACATTGCTAAAACCGCATGGGCTTTTTTGGTCACCTGATTTTACCATTTTTGTAGGAAAGTGATGAATGATTAAAAAATAATTACTCCTGAAGAGGGTAGAGAAGCTGCACCGAAACATCTAGTTGGAGTCATCACAGCATCGAATTCCTTCTGCAATGAATTTGGACGTTCCTTGGTGCTTTCCAGGACGGCCGTTTCCGTCTTTCGACGCCTTAATATTTCTTTGGGGTGAAGAATGCTTTTCCAGTGTTTTTCATTTTCATCCCATCTTTGTTTCGGATATCAACGCATCTAGTTGGTGGTTCTGTAACTTCTGTTCGATCAAAACTTTGATCCTGGCTCTCTCCCTTGCCTTCGCCTCTTCCAAAACCATGGTAATAAGAATGAATGTAAATGCATTTTGCTATTTCTTTAATTAAAAGGTACTGCCCTGGACTATCAGTTAATCCACCTACAACGTCCCGTGTTCTTGTCCCTAGCCTACGTGCAAGAATGATGGGCGATGCGTAACAATGCATCATCTGATGGGAAAGGTCTACCGAATGGGCTGCGCAGACACAGATGAGCGCAACATGGATTTAGAAGGTAAGCCTAAGGCAGAGCCGAACAGGGAGCCTGGGCCAAATAATTCACGTACCACGGACAATTTGCAGCATAGAGGACGACTAGACCCGACACTCCATTCGATTCCCATTGTTCGATAGAGTCGCTGTCGATTCTCCACCTAGCGTGCGCATATCAACAACTCCATGGTAGAGCAGCAGATTCAACAAGACACACGTGTTTCGTTGATGGATTCTTGGGATCGAATCCCCGAATGAATCGATTCCGATCGTTAACCTGAGCTTCCACTGCCGATCCACTTGGTACATAGAGAAGTCCATTCTCAGGTGGTGGAATTAATGTTGACGTGCTTGGAGCTGCTTCATTTCTTGTTCTAGTTTTCTCGCGGTGACTACCATCTCTGGGCGCAGTGCAGTCCTATGGAGAGTTCGGCTCTTATAGGTGTAGGCTACAAGCCTAGGCCCCTAAAGACCATAGGCTAAGCGGAAGGAGATGGGTTGTAACGCAACAGTACAGTAGTTCGTACTGCAGTACATTAAGCGGCACCCAGGCATTTCGTAGTCTGTGTAACCGATTAGCCTACTAGCTTTTGCCTTTTAAAATCGTAGCCTCGCCAGCCGTTGGGTTAACTACCTCAACGTTTCTACTGAGAGGGTAGGCAGGATGGGTTGCGAGACGTCATAGGTCTGCACGTAAAAGTAAGAAGTAAATTGGTAAGGTTGGAGTGTTTCAGGGCGGCAGTGCAGTGCTGCGTTAACTACAGGACGAAATGATGTCGTTAACGCTTCGCAGAAGTCAGCGCGTGAAACCACCGTGTCGTACTCTCGCTGTGGGAGCTGGGATGCCCAACGTCATCCCGGTCGTGTTGCTCCCATCTCGGTCCTGTGAATGTAAAATGCTCTGTTGAGCATTACTGGGCTATTTCATTCCGAGACGGAGGCATTCAATTTGATATGAAGGAAAAGGGTAACTTTGGAACAGCGGTGTTAATGGGAAAGTGTTATTGACGAACTTAACGAAAACGCGTTTGCTTCCTACGATGTAACGATTGTTGGCATTCCTGCTAACGACTCGTACTACTTAAAAATATTCGGCTATATTTGTCATTATGAAGATCCTATTATGTACTTCCACTAAGTCTGTCAGCGTATGATTAACTCTAGTTTACGATACGGACATAGCGACGCAAATGCAGCGCTACATTGTATTTCATACCAGAAAGTACATCGCTGTTTCTTTGTCGTCTGGCTAGGTAGCACTGGGAAAGCATTTCTGTACACCACGATATCTTATATATCGTTGGTAAGGGGACAGAACGCACGTGTATGAGCGTTGCGTGATTGGTAATACTGTAATTCTGCTGCTCGGAAGTATGACGTGTCACAGGATCCTCGACTTACGTTATTTGCGTGAGCAGGTCCAATGCGTCATTTAACGCGTAAAATTCAGTCGATGATACGAACTTATCGACATCATCCTTTGGGATGGAGCCCCGCTGAAGACCTGTCAATGATCGAACGAGCGTTGCGATACTCGGACGATGACCGTCCATTCGGTGCCGAAGGAGTTTTGCTGGGTGGTGCCCTTCGCTTAGTGTTGCCAGTCGTTTGCAAAGAATTTCGTGGTACAATCGACGATACTTGCTTTAAAGGGAGCCCGTTGTGGCCATCGTTTCGAATAGATTGACAAAAAACACGTATGATGTTTTGAGCGAAGGTTGTTCGACGGTAGCAGCGGAGCATTTCCGCGAGTACATGTATATCTGGATATATATCTGGATTGGAAGGCGACATTCGGACTCACCACGGTATTTTGGGTCAACTTTTCCGCTGAATTCCTCGACATTCTCCATCTTTCTGGTTTCGTAATGCATTCTGCGGAAATCTCTCCTTTTGGGAATGGCCTTTCCGACGGTACGAACATGGTCGTGGAAGATAGGAACGAAGGAAAGTGTTTCACCATCTGAAGTGTGGTCACGGAAGCGTTTGACAGCGCTCATTTCCTGCCTTAAATTTCAGTCGAACACGTCGTACAATGTCAGCACACCGTTCGATCTCGGTCGACGTGGATTCCCTATCGAGCTTGCCTGCGTTATGACTTTAAACAAGTCTCAGGCACAGACATTTCATCGGATAACTACTTCCGAAGCCAGTATAGACGCATTGGGCAATTGTACGTTGCCTGCTCACGAATTCGCTGCGAGGATTCTCTGCAGATTCAGGGTGTGGATGGACCGAAATGAGGCAAAACTCTTGCTGGCAACGTTATCGACAATGTGGTTTATGAAGAACTTCTTTCATTGTCAAATCCATTCGTCGGAATCGTTTCTTACATCATGAAACCAACTTTCCGATTCATTCTTACGTGTCGCGTTTCGTGATCTTTCATGTCGAACTAATTCCCGGCAATAGTTTGCGCATATTGGGAGGTCAAGCGCGCTGTACCTCAGTATTTGATGCACACAGTTTCCACGTTGAACTGTTGATCAAATTTTGGAAGCAGGTATCTGGCTAAAACTGTCTTTACTGAGCCGTGACAATAAAAGTTGTGGACGTGCTCGGGCAGTAGGCCACCAGTGGTAATGCACGAGTTGTCTGAATGTCAGTGTCGTATCCTAGGCTGTACATTGTCTTTCGTAGGTCTGTACCAAGCAATACCATACCTTCGTTTCTGTTTCTTCATAGGCTTAGGTTATTGCAACTAATTTTCTCGCTTCGTTTCTTCCATTAACTGGAAAGTACGATAGATTGGGGTCGCGAAGCGGGTCGAGCCAAATGTTGATTTACAGTGGTACTGAACTATAGATTTTAGCTGGGATAGACAGTTCTTAACGCCTGAGTTGCTAGCCGTTAAAATTTATTGCCGCAGCACCTGATAGAATACTTTTTAGATATGGTGTGTTTGATATGACTTGCGGCTTGAATACACTGATGACGCGTGTTGCCTAACAATTTTATTAAATGAGTTCTTTCGCTGAACTTTAAGTTTCTCATACTTGTTCGAACTCTGCAGGCTGTATCCTAACCATCCTCTCCTCTACGATTTAAGTTGAATACAGGGTAGGTTCTTACTCATTTATGTTTTCTGAACTTAATTTTCTTGTTACTGGTTACCCTGATATGGCGGATATCATCCAGGCGCTTATATGGAAAATTTTCTAGAAGGATTTAATCCTAGAAGTGCAAGA